AGACAAGTCGGCGCTATCATCCCGTAATTATCGTTAACGTTGTTTAAGACATATACACGCCCACACCTTGAGGTTCACAATGTCGTCGCACCCGCTTTCGTTAAAAAGACATACATCTCTTGAATGGGGTGCAGAAACGAGCAACGAAATGGCTGATAGGGTTGAAAAATAAAACTTACGAAGATAGACTCCAACACTTGGGATTATGCTCTTTGAGTTACAGGAGGAGTAGGAGTGATAATAGGATCATGGCATGCAACATAATAATCACGCCGAATCATCCCAAAATGTACATTATGTTGAAGCGTCATCACCACACCCGTCAAGGCAGTCCTTGAAAAATTGCGAACACTCAGGTTCGTGCGACATGGAATGCTCTTCCAGCGGAGGTTGCTACAGCCCCCTCAGTGGACAGCTTTAAGAAGAGGCTTGATAAACACGTACTCATCTCCCTCGTGGACGGGCTATGCTTGATGCATGTCCTGAGACTTGCTAATTATTATTATTTCCATCTCCTGAAATCGCCAACTTAATCTAGTTTCTTATCGTCTGTGTCTCCTCTCCCTCGCTTATACTTCAGTCCTCTCGCACAACATTACTACCAGTTAATTAACTTATTTATTTATTTACTTACTTATGAAATCTTATTAGCATTGGAATTTTCTCATTACTATTCTCCACGATGCAACTAAATGACCTCAGGTCTGGTAATGTGATGGCTCCCGGTATTCAGAAACCCCACTACCTTGCAACAAACGTATCCATTCAAACCGCGGGACAAAGACATTGAGAAATAACTGCCAACTGACTATAGCAAGTGCGGTCGGGTGGCTAGACCCCCATGCATTGGAAATTGCCAAATACCTGGAACCACACCGAAAGAACAAGAATCGAGTGTAAGTAAATTATCTGTTCTATACTAGCTAGTGACGAATAAATTGGATATTGAAGTCTGACCTTCGTGGAACTTACAAATTCTGGAATTGTAACACATGTGGTACCATTTGCATGAACTTCTTTTTTCATGTATTAGGTTGTCTTGATCTCACTCTTGTTTTATTGCAAGTTACCGTCTCTTTTTTCTCTTTTCAATGCGAAAGCGTTCTGTGTGCTTGACGAGTTGTCGGTCCACCGTATTCTCATGTTCATTCCTCTTCTAAACCATTAAACGCTCCTCCTCCGATACTCCAGCTCACAGAGTACCTCCTAGCTAAGCGCAAACTAACCAAAGGCTGAAGTTACAAAATACTGACTAGAGTTACTGAAGCGAAGCGACTAGACTACCATCCATTGGATACTACCAAATACCTTGAACCATACCGGAAGAATAAGAATCCAGCGGAGTGATCACTTGGTTTTTACTAGCTAGTAAAAAGTATATTGGGTATTGATAATTCTACAGAGGATGTATCAGTGGGTCGCTACTGTATCGGTCTAAGACCTTCACGCCTTCGGCTCCTAGTTCCTCTCTCCAAATTTTGTGAATCTGAAGGTCATGTGACTACAAATTTTTGTTTAGTACTATTCTCGTGAAATTGATGTGTATGTTTGCGCTTGTTGAGTCGTTGCTTTACCCCTTATATTGTCCTCTAGTTCACCTTACTCTTCATGCTCGCTCGCTAGACATCGACAACTACAGTTACTTTTCTTTCCTGTCTTAAGTTCTTTGTCGTTAGTGTAAGGCATTTTACCATGCCTGTTTACGTCCTAAGGCTAAAGTTTTGTCAAATCCAATTCCCAGCTTTGGGAAAATTTTGGAATAGCTCCATGAATAAACTTTTGAACACCAACTACCCCCCTGGTCCCGGGTTTGATTTAGCTTTTCTAGCCTGACCTGTATTTGGTAGGTTAAAAACATTGAGCAAATATTATAGATGCTCATTCTGGGAACCAGTACTTTGTGTAGCACCGTGAGGCGCTAATTTAGGCCCTTTACTGTTTTAGCTATTAATACACTCGCGCATATCGTTGAGTCGCATATGTTACTTAACGCTGACGATTTAAAATTTGTCGAGGAGTAACCGACTGGAGCTGCTACCTTGAGGTGGTGGTCGGGATTGCCTATCGTGATGACCCTACCGAACTATATTGACTGGAACATATGTTCCTGAAGATTCTACCGTGCCAGGCAGCAACAATGCAAGCATGTTTGGGATGCGGTCTTCTCGAAATGCAAAATGTTGCTTCAAGATCGGGTTGCATCGGCACCTGAACTAGTGATAGGGAGTGAATTAGTCGAGCCTGTAGACCACTTCACTTATCTGGAGTGCCTCATCAGTGCTGATGGCCTGGTGACTGACGAAATCTCAGCACGGATACAGAAGGCTCGAATGGCTTTTGCCACCCTGCATCACTTATGGCGTAGGCGAGATATCCGTTTGCTAACTAGAGGACGAGTGTACTGTGCAGCAGTTCTTTCCGTCCCACTGTGCGGATGCGAGACTTGGCCGTTAAGAGTAGAGGACTTCCGTAAGTTACTAGTCTTCGATCATAGGTGTCTCCGAAGCATAGTTCGTGTATCATGGGACAACCGTATAAGCAATGCTGTCGTTAGGAAACGAGTTCTAGGTAAGGATGGCAAATCAATAGATGAAGTAATGAAGCTTCATCAGTTGAGGTGGCTGAGAGATGTGTTGCGTATGCCTAACCACTGACTGCCTCGTCGAGCTATGTTTTGCGATGTAGGGATAGGTTGGAAGAATGCTAGGGTCGGCCAAACGAAAACATGGCAGAAATGCATGAAGTCACTGACAAGTGGACTGAGTCATGTTGGTAGATGTAGGCTACCTTGTTGTGGTCCGCAAGACGATAGTAATCGATGGTTAGATACCTTGGACGACATGGCTCAGAATTGTTTGCAATGGCGCAGGTGCATCCACTGTTTGTGTGCTTTTTTAATTCTAACCTTCTGATTTACTCATAATCTTTCTCCTTCTAAATTTATCTCATTGAATTATACTTCTCGATTCATATCTTTGCTCCCTAATCTTCTCCATTACTGCTAATACTTCTACTATCGCTATCACTCTTGGATTTGAACTGACATTCGCTTCTCTAAGCTGATGTGGTATAGCGACTTAAAGTGATGTACTTGTATACGAAGTTCTGCATTGTATTTGTCTAAGCTTGTTTACGTACAGCATTGGGAAAGATTCGATGTCCTCAGTCTGGTCTGACGGAATGCAATGCGTAAGGATTTGGAGATAGACATTTACCAGGTTAGGTAATAGTTTGTTCACCATATTGTACACAAAATCACTGATTTTTGAATGTGAAAACTGTGTTCAGACTACAATCCTCTGCTTAAAAGTTGACTCCAATATTTTGGTAATAGCACAGCTTCTACCTGTGCTATTCTAGAATTCCGAGATTCATCGTAAACAGATTCTTGAAAAGTTGGAACTCTTTTCACTGCCCTACCATCAGTCAGGATTTGATCCGATTTTGATACATAAAGTACTACGAAATAACTTTTCACCTGATTCATCCTCTTTTTCTCCCTACTAGATCAAGACAACTCGGAGTACATAGCAGGCGATTCCAGAAACCAAGGGCTAACAGAATACCCGTGGAATATAGGCTTTCACACCGAGTCACCGGCTCTTGGAACCTGTTACTCGAGAACGGTTTCGGCACCTTCATTAACTCGTTCGACAGAAGACTAGACTCTCAGAAACCATAGACCTGTCATCAATGTACAAAGCTGAATATAGTTTCTATCAATTTGACCATTGTAATTTGATTGTATGTACCTTACAAATTAGTGAATTTTGTATGAAAAGATATTTCTAAGCCAACAACCATCATCAAAACATTCCACACATGATACTTTTTGGATGGATAAAGGCACTGAGAAAAATTTTTTGGTTTGTGATTTTGACAATAGATACTTTCTTAGCATCCACACTTTTCCTATCCTTCACCAATTTAGTATTAGGCTTTAGTATGGGAAGACGTCCACGTTTTTCCGTCACATCCCTTGTCCATGCCTGACAAATAATATAAACAAAAATTAGTGTATTAATTGATGATCAGGCGGTGATTCTATACTACATAGCAGTGTGTCGTTGTTGAACTAATCTTGATTTGTTTAAGCAAGGTGTAGATGTTTGGATGGATCATTCATCTTATCCGGATTAGTAAAATGATTACCGCCAAAATAACTTTATTGTGCTGAGCAGATACCACTTACTTTATATTTTTTCAAGGGCTCTGATTCCATAAAAGCTGAAACCAGTGAAAATTTTCAACATCATAAAGTTGGCATATTTGATATCTCTGCTTCATATTGACTTCCGGAAGTGAACAGGAATTTTTGAACAGCTGTCGTTTTCGTCTGATGTAATCCTGAACAAATATTTATGTTGTACTGAGTATCGAGCCTTACTCCAAATTTCCGATTGAAGTCAAACTTCGGAATAGCTTTTGAAACCAATAGTTTTACCTATCAGCTTTCAGTATTGTGTTGTGAGTATCTAGATTTCTTTGGTTGTCAAATTATTGCATTTTCATTGTTGTGCCGTGGTAAAAAGTTTATGTGGCTAACTTATATCCTATCACGATTAGTGTTATTAGTGAGTCATATGATTTGCTCAATTGGTCAATAATCAAATCGAGCTGACGGTGGTAGAGTTTTATCAATCAATAATTTGGTGTATGCTTATAGTTTGCAACATGAGTGAGTTGATTGCTTCAACTAAAAGATCTGGCTAAATTAGAGTTATGTATTTGTTTCATCCTGACACTAATATTCTCGGGTTGTATTTATAGTTAGCATCTAATTTGTGTTTCATATCCCATATTCGTCGTGACTTCTTCACTATAGACTTGATATTACTATTTGCCATCTTTGTGTTGTTTCAAGTTTACTGTATTATTGTTGAATTATGACTTAAAGTTTACCTTGTACTGAATCCCGGTTTCTTTATTGCATGTAGATGAGAAGTGTTTAACGAGGAAGCAAACAAATAAATTTATGCTTTTAACTATCATTAAATAACATGGCTAAAACTCGTAAAAGTAATTTCTCTTAACTTGTAACATTTATCTTAAAGTACCGAATGCTACCAAAGAGGAACTCATGGTTTTAACCGTGAGTGAGATAATCTCGCACCTTTTAAAAGCTATTCAAGAGAAACGTAATGTTGATTTAAATAAGTAAGTAATCATTTAATTCTTATTGATGATAATCTGTTGTTTATTTGATTAGACTTAAATCAGTTATATCTAGTAAATATGGTCTAGCTTCACAACCGCGACTGGTCGATTTAATCTCTGCAGTACCAACAGAACATAAACATGTAAGTTGATTTTCATTAATGAGTAATATTTACGAAATACACCGTCTAGATGCTATTGCCACATTTGAAAGCGAAACCAGTTAGATCAGCTAGTGGGGTAATTAGATACATACTTTTAACTAACTACTGTTTTTATTGTATTGTAGATTGTAGTCATAGCAGTTATGTGTAAGCCCCATCGATGTCCTCATATAGCTGTTACCGGGAATGTTTGTGTGTAAGTTTTTTCAAATGTCTTTAATTTCACATGTTATTCACTTATCCACAGTTATTGTCCAGGCGGACCAGATTCTGATTTTGAATACTCCACACAATCGTATACTGGATATGAGGTAATTTTATAATTTAAGTTCTCTAATTTTTCACTGATATTTATATTAGCCAACTTCAATGCGTGCTATTCGAGCTCGTTACAATCCTTTTATTCAAGCAAGGCATCGAATTGAGCAGGTAATTTTTTATTATGTTTGTATATTTCATTTTCAATCTTAGCTTCAGCAATTAGGACATACATGTGATAAAGTGGAATTTATTGTTATGGGAGGAACGTTTATGTGTCTTTCTGAAGACTACCGGGATTATTTCATCAGGAGTTTACATGATGCACTATCTGGTCATACAAGCAAAAATGTTGACGAGGCCGTTAGGTAGGTATAAGCCACACCTTCCAGTCTTATTTTCTAAGTTATTATTTGCTCGTCCAAAAAATCCTCATAAATCCATGCTTAGATTTCCACAATAATTAGTATGACGCAAAATTATCTTAGTGTCCCCTTATACCAATACTTTTGTGTCTGAATTAATAAATCGAGTTCAGGTTTCCTATAAACCTGCAAGTTTAGACATAAATGATGAATGTTTAACGACTTCACTTACCACTTTGTAGGAAGTCTGATAACTTATAATGTTACATAATGTGGTGATTATGCTGAAAAATAGCCCAACAGTTTAAGCCATAAGTTATTCCTAGAGACCAAAGCAATTCTTTAGAAATATCACTGTCGTATCTAGAGGACAGTTGTTTAAATGGTGGATATAAGATTAAATTCTTAATTAATTTTTCCATGTATTATTACTTCAAAACTATTGGAAGGTAACCATCTACCAATTATTTTGTTTCAGTGGCATAGGAATTCAATCTTTATTCACAATAACTCAAATCGAAACGTCCTGTCCTTCATTTTCCAAAAGGTTGAGGATAGTATTAACCATGGTATGGGGGATCCGCTCTCCTCGAAATGCTATTCTAGCCACGCGTTTATGACCATTGCGAGATAAGTCCTACCCACTGCTTTCGTCTGACGCGGGTGTCGTTTATGAACTTTAGAAGACTAAAAACGAGTTTCCGGCGGAGTTTTGAACCGAGTTGGTGATCACAGAGGACACTTAGGGAATTCGGAAAGTCTGATTCCATATCAATAGTGCACATAAGCTCCATGATCCTCAAGGAACAAACGGTATATAAACCAAGTGTTGATCAGCGGCTACCATGGAACTGCTTTTCTTGACGTTGCTCCACTGCCTTGTGAATGGGACTTTTAGGTCAAATGCTAGTAAGCTCCTCAAACAAACCACCTGCTTTGGTCTAAGCAGCCTGGTAGTATCTCATCCCAATCACAAATTCACTAATTTATGTGACAAAAATATTTAAATGCCACTTTGTACTAATGTTTGTAATCAGTAAATCCTAGTATTAGGTATGATTAACAACCTCATATACATACATTACTTGAACTTAGTTTCTGGACTTCAAGTTATGCAGCTATACAAAAACCGTGATTTCATTTTCTTTCGTTTTTTCTGTTAAAATGACATTGGTATGATTGATCGTATTGTTGTTTTATCAGAACTCTATTCTTCGGTTAGTAATTGAGTTGCGCTACCAATCTTTACACTAAAAGCATACATGACCCCATAATTTCTCACACAAATTAATGTTATTAAATGCTAAAAATTCCTGTCGTATAGCTTATGCCAAAAGTGATGAAAATAACGTGACAATGTGAACTGATATTTCAACATAAGTAGTTCGAAACATGTTTAAATGAACTTCCTGGTAGAAAGGTCGTAATACTGCGTACTTAATTTTTTAAACAAACAATTAGGGAATAATAAATAGGGAAATATACTGGCTCAATCAATCAATCAATCAACAGCAACATAGAACTTCGTACGTACGAACATCAATTCAAGGTGCCATACCACGTTAGCACAGAGATATAATTGTCCATTCAAATCCCATAGTAGTAGAGTTAGTAATAGTAATAGAAGTAATCGGAGAAATTAAGATTCAAAAATATTATTCAAGAAGTATAATTTAGTGAGGTAAACTTAGAAAAAGAAACATAGAGGTGATGAAGAATTCAGAACGTTAGAATTTCATAGAACACAAGGAGTACATGCACCTTTGCCATTGCAAACGATTCTTGAGCCATGTCGTCCAAGGTATCTAACCATGGATTACTATCGTCTTGCGGACCACAACAAGGTAGCCTACATCTACCAACATGACTCAGTCCACTTATCAGTGACTTCATGCATTTCTGCCATGTTTTCGTTTGGCCGACCCTAGCATTCTTCCAACCTATCCCTACATCGCAAAACATAGCTCGACGAGGCAGTCAGTGGTTAGGCATACGCAACACATCTCTCAGCCACCTCAACTGATGAAGCTTCATTACTTCATCTATTGATTTGCCATCCTTACCTAGAACTCGTTTCCTAACGACAGCATTGCTTATACGGTTGTCCCATGATACACGAACTATGCTTCGGAGACACCTATGATCGAAGACTAGTAACTTACGGAAGTCCTCTACTCTTAACGGCCAAGTCTCGCATCCGCACAGTGGGACAGAAAGAACTGCTGCACAGTACACTTGTCCTTTAGTAGACAGCTTCTATAAGGTTAATGTACTTCTTTGGTACACCTTCTAATGACAGACAGTGCCACAGATCCTCACGGTCGACAGAGTGGGATGCCTCCTTAAGGTCCAGGAAGACAGCTATTGTCGGACGCCTAAATGTGTGTCTGTGTTCCAGAACCTGTCGTAGTGTGAAGATGTGGTCTATACAACCACGTCCAAGTCGAAAACCAGCCTGGTTTTCTCGAGTTCGCTCTTCACGAGCTTTCGTTAAGCGTCGAAGTTTTACTGAGGCTAATATTTTAGATACTATATAAGTTAGACTGATTCCCCTGTGATTGTCACAAGAAGACTTTAGTCTTTTCGTATAGATTGGGACAAACAGTGATTGAGAACACTCGGATGGGATTGCGTCCATTTCCCAGATTCTACCTAAGATCTCAGTCAATCCAACTGCTAAAACTGAACCACCATCCTTAAATATCTCAAGGTCAATCTGTCAGGACACGCTGCTAGCCCTCGCTTCAGACTTCCTATAACTTTCTCAACTTCATAAAGACTCAGGATGACTGGAGATCGTGGGCAGCCGAGGTGTTGCTGAAGGCTAAATGAACTGATCTCTGAAGTGTTCTGCCCATCGGTTCACAGTATAGACTGCTTGTGATTGCAGTGAATAAAACATTATCTAATGTATACCGTAATTTTCTTTATTGGGTCATCAACCAAGTGTCTGGTGTCACGTAATCCAATTTGTGTACAGCATATTAGTCAAATATGCAGTCCAGTTGTGGTACAAATCTCGTTCACCGACCACATTATCTCATTATATTAGTAATACATGGCAAACAGAAAATATTTTTATCCTATCTTTGTATCACGAAGAAAAGTTGGAAAGAATTAATAAGATCGTCTACTGCAGTTTCTCTGATCATAAAAGGAAACATTCATTTTTCGAAATCTGTGTGAATACAAAAAGTTTTTAACTCACAGTACTGTAATTTCCTCTATATATATAGAGGATAAGATGAAAAACACAGTCGGGAAAATCAGGAGCAACTAAATCATTCATTAAAAATTGAAGTGCGAAATCTAGTTAACGTACCGTTTTATTTGAACATCCAGTCAGTTGTTCATAATTAATGAAACAGAGTGAAAGTAATAACAATGGTAATGAAAAGGACCAAACATCGAGAACGCATTTTGATAAGTTAATAAAAAGGTATGTATAAATGAACACTGAGACTCAACCTTTAGAGGATGATTAAGAATAAGTGCAACTTTGGCAATGTGATTGATTCTGAACCATATTAATTGACATCTCTAACATCTGATTACGATAATCGTGCGGACCCTAACCAGATCATCTGCGTCTACCAACTTCACTTAAATCTGCGGTCAATGAATACATCGACTTATGGAACGTTTGGGTTTGACTTCGAACGTACTCCTACACCAGTCTTTGAGTTAGGCGACGGGTGGGCGTACGTAAAAGTCAGTAAATGAAGATTCAGAATCAAATCAACCTCTTAGTATGTTGTCTCTCATTTCAGTATCACTCACTCGGTTCTGCAGAACGCAAGTCGCGATTTACCTAAATATACAACTATTCATTAAATTGCTCTATCCATTTATCGTATACGATTTTGGTATCATATCTCCATGGAAGTTTCTCACGACTTCATGCTTCTGACTTACTATTCACCATGTACATATACTTTCCCAAAACCTTATGGGTACTTCATTTCAATCATATTATATGTAAATTCTAATTCTATGTTAATGTCATTATCTCAGCAAATAATTTCACTCAGGTCGTCTAATTTTAATCCGTTCGTCTAACTAACGTGATCCAAAGGAAAGCTAAACTTTGTTTGATTACTAGTGTCATTTGTGTGGATTTTGGAAGCCTCGAAAAAATATAATGAAACTGTCACTTAGTAATTTGAATTGACGATTTCATCTCTGTGCTAATGTGGTATGGCAACTTGAACTGATGTACGTACGTACGAAGTTTTACGTTGATGTTGATTGATGATTGAGTGGTTAAAGCATTCGAATCTGAAATACTGGTTGGTTATATGAGTTCCAAACTGCCTTTGTGTACTTTGTCTGGCATTGAAACCCCTTTCACAAACAATATATCGCTTAAGGATAATTAGAAGGTGAAGCCTTTTTAGAACTATTCAGTTATGTAGAATTAAATTAAAACTACCAAGCACCCTCTAGTGTAAAAAGTACTGTTTCATTTAAGAACTGCCCATACTTTATTTGATAACTTATCAATTTGTTCCCATTTATTAGTTATTCTGAACGAAGTAGAACAAAATGTGTCGGCATCACTATTGAAACACGTCCAGATTATTGTTTGAAAAAGCACTTAAGGTAAATTCCAAGTAGCTATTCATCAGTCAAATAATTCGTTTCAGTGAAATGTTGCGTTATGGTTGTACGCGATTGGAGATCGGTGTTCAAAGTGTTTATGAAGATGTTGCTAGAGATACAAACAGGTAAGAATTTTACTCTGTCTATCAAAAGAAAAATGATTTAACCTGTTTTTTCATTATAAATTATTGTTGAAAATAATAATCTTGCTTTATTTAGCACTACTATATTAATGGGTTATGTATGTTGTTGGCGCATTCGATCTGCATTCTATTCATATTGTGATTATCACTCATGTGTTCATGACCAGTGTCGTATTTTGGTCCGGCTTGGCGAAGAGAAAACGTTCTCTAAAACGATTTCGTACATAATTTTCTTGCAGGAGTGAAGCGAAAATTCTTTTTTTGGCTTACTATAACCATCAAGTTTTCACCGTTTACTAATTAGTTATTTCATGGAGATAAAAAAAACTTTTAAAGTTTGTTTGGTAAACCGTCTAATAATAGTAATGATGATGATAATCGGTCTTCCAAGTCAGTAATTTCTCAAATACTTACAATCATTGGTTTTCAAAACGTCTTTGAGACTTAATTTACAAAATTTCCCTTTAAGGTTATTATCTAATAAAAGAAATACTGTTTATCCTAAATTCTTCTCTTGTTTTGCTTCCCAGAGGTCATACCGTTAAAGCGGTTTGTGAGTCATTTCATTTGTCTAAAGATGCTGGATTTAAAGTTGTTTCGCATATGATGCCTGACTTACCGAATGTTGGCTGGGAACGTGACTTGGCACAATTTGCTGAATATTTTGAAAATCCAGCTTTTCGTTCTGATGGATTAAAAATTTATCCAACACTTGTTATACGTGGTACAGGTTTATATGAATTATGGCGTACTGGTCGGTATAAAAGTTATCCACCTGGTATGCTAATTGATTTGATTGCACGAATATTAGCATTAGTTCCACCATGGACCAGGATTTATCGTATTCAAAGGTAGATCATATATATATATATATATATATATATATATATATATATATATATATATATATATATATACATATATATAATTTTATTTATTCATTTTTTCCGTTGATAAAATTAAAAGTTATGGCCAGTATAATTAAAAAAAGTTACAAGTGGAATCCAAAAACCCATTTAGAACTATTCTATTTAGAACTCGTTAGATAGTTGCAAGTACCAAAATTCATGTTCATGTTTACACTCAGTCTACCTACTTGAGCATTGAAGTTATCAGGCGTTATGACTATAGACATGCTTTTAGAAATAACCTTATCGTCGTCTGAATTTTAAGGAGTAAACCTTTTACCAGGACGCTCGTTTATCGACTTATAATATTCCGATGACATAGTTCTATTTGGTGAAGATGCTGACAAAGTGCAGAGTCTTCTGACTACCCTAAGCAACAATGCAAGCATGTTTGGGATGCGGTCCTCGCTCTCGAAATGCAAAATGTTGCTTCAAGATTGGGTGGCATCGGCACCTGAACTGGTGATAGGGAGTGAAGTAGTCGAGCGTGTAGACCGCTTCACTTATCTGGAGTGTCACATCAGTGCTGGTTTTCGATCAAAATGTGTCTTCGAAGCATTGCTCGTATATCCTGGGACACACGAGTTAACAACGGTGTTATTAGGAATCGGGTGCTAGGTAAGAATGGCAGATCAATAGACGAAGTAATGAAACTTCATCAGTTGAGATGGTAGGGACATGTGCTGTCCATGCCTCACCACCGACTGCCTCGACGAGCTTTGTTTTGTAGTGTAGGAATAGGTTGGAAGAATGCTAGGGTCGGCCAAACGAAAACATGGCAGAAATGCATGAAGTCACTGACAAGTGGACTGAGTCATGTTGGTAGATGTAGGCTACCTTGTTGTGGTCCGCAAGACGATAGTAATCCATGGTTAGATACCTTGGACGACATTGCTCAGAATCGTTTGCAATGACGTAGGTGCATCCACTTTTTGTGTTCTATGAAATTCTAACGTTCTGAATTCTTCATCACCTCTATGTTTCTTTTTCTAAGTTTACCTCACTAAATTATACTTCTTGAATAATATTTTTGAATCTTAATCTCTCCGATTACTTCTAATACCTTAACTACCTCTACTACCATTGGATTTGAATTGACAGTTACTTCTCTGTGCTGATCAGGTATGGAAACATGAACTGTTGTACTTACGTACGAAGTTCTACGTTGCATCTGACTGACTGACTGACGACTGCCTTCTCACAAGGACGGCTGAGATAAAAAAGATCGACCCTGAAAATATCACACTTCACCTTACCGCACGGCTTTCAGTTATCGGTGGTAAGGCCTAAACAACATGGAGGCTAACATTACAAAACCTCCTAAAAACGCAGTGCGTGACCAGCCTGAAGCAGTTGTCCCTTGGACTCTACAATCACGCTCCCAGGTCTCGAAGACCAACGCTAATCTAACTTCCTTTTCAGGTCCCTCAAGAAACAACCTTCCACGGTGTGGGCACTCGGGAAGTGACATCCGCCCTCATACCCGTAACAACACACGAGACCAAACTGGTCTCAACCCAATCCTTCCTTCACACCCTAACATCTCTATTATCTCCACGACTAACTCTTCTCACATTCCTTTATCACCCCGTACTTCTAATGAAAATGTGTGTGTGTTCCCGAAACGTTATTCTTGGTCTCGTGAAACTCCGTTCTAAGCTACATGTTGGAGCTTCCAATATCCGGACATTGTGTCGAATAGGGCAACAGGCTTCCTTAGCTAGGACTCTGGAATCCTGTGCCATAGATGTATGATGCGTCTCCGAAACGAACATACAGGATCCGAGTAGCGTCATTCACTTGACCTCACCATTTCAAGATAAAGAAGAAACTTGATTTACTCTTCGTGTATCCGCTAGCCCTGACGCTGCTTCCAGGTGTCTGACTGGCGTAGGTATAGCATTGAGTAGTAGGGCTGAACTGTCTCTCCTAGACTGGGTCCCAGTAGATAGTCGCTTGTGCGCTGTCCGACTAAACGGGACAGTAAGGACTCGTAAAGATAGGGACACTCGTCGTTGCCTCTTCGTGATATCCGCCTACGCTCCCACTGATTGCAGTTCATACTAGGGGAAAGATGAGTTTTACTGGAAGCTTTCGTAACTCATCCAAAACGTGAGGTACTCTGATATAGTAATAATGTCTGGTGACTTCAATGCCCAAGTAAGTAGACTGAGTGTAAAGGAAAGACACCTTGGTGGATCTTGTGGTGTCGCGGCTCAAAGAAGAGAAAATGGTGACCGTCTGCTACAGGTATGCTGAGATAACGGCCTATATCTAGCGAACTGTTATACTGCCGCTATGTAGCTATTCGAAATCCTACCGATTGACCAAATTCAGATATTCCAGTACGATCCCAAATCTCCAATATATCAGAACACAACACCGTTAGATGAGGTTGTTTATGGGGCCGAGTACAGAAGTGACGAAGGAATAATAAGCTTTACAGATCGAATAGGAAACAACATTGAAGTACGTGACATTGACAGTTAGGACGACCATAATATCGACCAATAGAATTAGACTTTCGATTCAGATCATGCTCTAGTGCGAGCGCGTATTTGTTTTCATCTGAGTGGGCGTAGGAAAAATATCACAAGGAAACCTCTTAGGGCTCTACTTAATGATAATAAAGATAAGAATACATCTCAGGAACAACTATGAAAACAGTTAAGCGGCCATGTAGTAAGTGATGCCCATTCTGAGGCAGCTTGGAATGATAATCAAAAAGCGGTGGAAACAGCAGTGTTATCTGCTAGCAAGGTAAACCATAAGGTTAGGGAGAAGCCGTGGATTTCAGTAGCATCTACCGAACTGATGGATGCTCGAAAACTCATCCCGCCTGGCTCTGAGTACGATGAGGAGCAGAGTAAGCTTAGGCGCAAACTGATAAAAAGCCTACGCAACGATCGAGAACAGTGGTGGGTAGAGAAAGCGAAACAGATGGAGACGGCACTGACGACAGGCAACAGTAGACAACTTTTCCGCCTTATAAAGGGAACTGGTATAAGAAATCCATCTGTTAGCGAAACTGTTTCAGAAAAGGATGGCTATATCACTCGTTCTCAATCGAGGAGATTGGATCGATGGGCAGAACGCTTCAGGGATCAGTTCAACTGGCCTTCAGCAACACTTCGGTTGCCCACGATCCCCGGTCATCCTGAATGGCAAGTCGACGTAAGTCCTTCGAGTCTTGATGAAGTTGCGAAAGCTATAGGAAGTCTGAAGCGAGGGCTAGCAGCGCGTCCTGATAGATTGACCCCTGAAATTTTTATGGATGGTGGTCCAGTTTTAGCAGTTAGATTGACCGAGATCTTAGGTAGAATCTGGGAACTGGACGTTATCCCATCCGAGTGGTGTCAATCACTGATTGTCTCAGTCTATGAGAAATGACAGAAGTCCTCTTGTGACGATCACAGAGGAATCGGTTCGACTAATATAGCATCGAAAATATCGGCCTCATTAATACTCGGACGCCTAACTAGAGCTGAAAATTCAGACGAGGATGAGGTTATATCTAGAAGCATGTCTATGACAAAGTTAAACTAGAATGGAGAGAGTGGGCAGCCCTGACGGACACCACTTGAAGTATAGAATTCCGATGACAGTTCGCCATGAACTCTGACCCCATCCAGTGGTGTTCGAGCAGAGAGCTTGTATAAGTTTAATGCACTTCTTTGGTAAACCTTTCAACGACAGACACTGCCACAGAACCTCACGATCCACAGAGTCAAATGGCTCCTTAAGGTCCAGGAAGACAACTATTGTCGGACGCCTGAACGAGTATACATGTTCTAGGACATGGCTGTTGGGGATGTTAGATCCGCAGAACTCGCTTGATAAATGCCTTATTTCGGATTCAACCTTTGCGGGCATGAGCTGATCAGTCGACCTTGAGACCTCATTTCCTACCAGGAATATCCATGGCTGTGATTGGCTGCTGTGTATTTCAGTGTGCTGTTTTCGTAGTTGTCCCAAGGACGTTTCTATGATGTATAAATAAACGAGAGTTGTATGCTTGATGGTATTGTGATTGCTGGGTGTTTGTAGAATATACTTTCTACACTTATCAAGACTTCTGTTTACAGCTTGGGATTCAAGGTAGCCTATCTGGACGCTGGGAGCGTGACTGCAGAGTCCAAGGGACAACTGCTTGAGGCCGGTCACGCACTGCGTTTTTAGGGGAGAAGTTTTTGTAATGTTAGCCTCGATCTTGTTTAGGCCTTACCACCGATAACTGAAAGCCGTGAGGTAAGGTGGGGTGTGATATTTTCACGGATCAGTTCATCTGGCCTTCAGCAACACTTCGGTTGTCCACGATCTCCAGTCATCCTGAATGGCAAGTCGACGTAAGTCCTTCGAGTCTTGATGAAGTTGCGAAAGCTATAGGAAGTCTGAAGCGAGGGCTAGCAGCGCGTCCTGATAGATTGACGCCTGAAATTTTTATGGATGGTGGTCCAGTTTTAGCAGTTAGATTGACCGAGATCTTAGGTAGAATCTGGGAGCTGGACGTAATCCTATCCGACTTGTCCCAAGCCTTGATGTTCCGAATTTATAAGAAAGGTCAAACGTCTGCTTGTGACAATGACAGGGGAATAAGTCTGACTAATATAGTTTTTGAATTGTTACCCTCGATTATACTTAGACGTCTTACTAGAGGTCGTGAAGAGCAGACTCGATAAAAGCAGTCTGGTTTTTGACCTGGACGCGGTTGTATAGACCTGATATTCACACTACGATAGGTCGTGTAACACAGACGCACATTTAGGTGTCCGACAATAGTTTTCTTCCTGGACTTAGTGATAGGGAGTGAAGCAGTCGAGCGTCTTGACCGCTTCACTTATCTGGGGAGTCTCGTCAGTGCTGATGGCCTGGTGACTGATGAAATCTCAGCACGGATAAAGAAGGCTCGATTGGCTTTCGCCACCCTGCATCACTTATGGCGTATGCGAGATATTTGTTTTTTGACTGAAGGACGAGTGTACTGCGCAGTAGTTCGCTTCGTTCTCCTATATGGATGTGAAACATGTCCAGTCAGAGTAGATGATATTTGTAGGTGTCTCCGAAGCATCGCTCGTGTATCATGGGACAACCGTATAAGCAATGCCCTCGTTAGGAAACGAGTACTAGTTAGGCATGGAGATCAATAGATGAAGTAATGAAGCTTCATCAGTTGAGGTGGCTGAGACATGTGTTGCGTATGCCTAATCACTGACTGCCTCGTCGAGCTATGTTTTGCGATGTAGGAATAGGTTGGAAGAATGCTAGGGTCGGCCAAACGAAAACATGGCAGAAATGCATGAAGTCACTGATAAGTGGACTGAGTCATGTTGGTAGATGTAGGCTACCTTGTTGGCCTCCGCGAGATGTTCGTAATTGATGTTTAGAGACCCTGAATGTTCTGTCTGAAATCCGTTTGCAGTGGCGCATGTCCACCCATTGTTTGTCGTCTTTCGAATTCTTAACTTTTGATTCTTCTTCAGTTTATCCTTGATCTTATTAAGTCTACTTCACGAAATTCTACTTCTTGAATTATATGTTGTAATCCTATGCTCTCCAACTGCTGCTTATACTATTGTACTTGAGCTGACAGTTATATCTCCGTGCTAATGTGGTATGGCAACATGAACTGATGTTCGTACATACGTAGTTGTACGTTCATATTGACTGACTATATTTAAATTTTACAGGAAGCAGTTTCTATCGCCAATTCAAGTGATCAGTAAAACTTTGAAACTTTTTTCAATTAGAGTTATGGTGATTGGTGTTTATGCACACTAAAATTATCAGTCAATCATTGTTAGACCACCATTAGAAACCTGGAAGCACGATAGCCTTTTTTCACGTGATTTCTCGTCATGAAAAGACTTTCAAGGTTGATCGACATGGCTGCATCGACATAGTCAGCATTGATGACAGTGCCCTGACTAATAATTCGATACGCAATGCTAGACCCATCAAACGTTATATTGAGATTCCTACATCTACTTCGAACAGCATGCTTGATACATCAGAGACCTCATTCTCACGTCACAGTCAACAACACGCGTCATCTGTACGCATCCAGGTTTCTAATGGTGGTCCAACAATGATTGATTGATGATTTCAATTTATGACAGAGTTAGTCTGCTTTAGTCTGAAGCAGTCAAATTTAACGATGTCCGTTGTTAAGCACTTACCATTGAGATTAAGATAGTTGCACTTTATCCTAAGTTTAAGCACTCGTTTCGCTACCTGAAAGGCCTTGGGTTCGACCTCCGATACGGTCATGAATCCTCATCTCTAAGGAGTCCCATACCAGGATGAAGTATCCGTTCATTGTTTTCGGTGGCTGTCTAAGCATAACGTAACATACTATCCAGCCAATGTAGCTCAGTCGGGTCATCATGGTATGCTAGTCCGACTATTATGTCAAGACAGCGGTGCATCAATTTTTGCTATATCGTAATCTTGTCAACTTGATAACGCATTCATTTTGTTTTTCCTTAATTATTAGGGATATTCCTATGCCATTAGTAACTAGTGGTGTGGAACATGGTAATTTACGTGAACTTGTATTAGCTCGAATGGAAGAACTAGGCGCTAGTTGTCGTGATGTTCGAACACGTGAAGTTGGCATACAAGAAATACATTCACGTGTAAAACCATATCAGGTATGAGAGTTACGTAAAATAAAACCAAAGTTTCTATTAGCGTTTTAATTATATTCGCTATTTATATGTTGTAATTCAGTCTTCTGTCGTTGCTGTTGTCCAAAACAAGTGTAGTTTGGTGATCAGGCAAAAATGCCTAAATAGTTTTTTCCAAATTAGTTAGCCAAAATGACACGTGCAACCTAAATTACAACAATATCTTATAGATGAATTTGCTGCAAAGACGGTAGCAGTTCATGATTTCAAACTTGAACCATGTATGCAAAACAGCATCACATTAAGTTGTTATTATATCGTGACTAGAATACTTACTTTTCAATGCACAGTCAATTGGTTGTTGATATTTGATCGAAATATTTTAGTTATTTCATGTATTTTCCATCTTTCTCATATTCTTTAATTGGATAGTTATCTTTCACACATTTCATTTTTATCTAATTATTTTCTCTCTACTTTCCGATCATTACGCAGCCTTATTTTGGTTTTTGCAATAATTTACTATTCTTCATATTTTCCGATAGACTAAGTAAGGTGACAGGTTTAAGTAAGTAATATAAGCATTCTAAATTCGAACCCGTACACGATGATGATTCTTCGATACAATAAAATAATTCTAGCGATATATTTGACTTGGAATCAAATACTTTATTTAAACAATGAATAGATACAAATTTATTTTACATACCATTACATTTTCACTGCAAATATTTACATGTAATTAAGTTTATGACCCTTACATTATTGGTCATTTGAAATTGTGTAACAAACATCTCTTCTAATAGATTATATCCTAGTTATTTGAAATCAACACACTAGAAAATCATGACCAGGGTAATAACAATCATAATTTGTTGCCGAATTCAAAAAAATGATTGTATTCGTTGAAAGTAGACTTTTCACTATACATTTGGAAAATTACATTTTTGACTGGTCGTGAGGCAAAGGGAAAAAGGGTAAATCGAACATACTTCTCATCATCAAATATCCTATTTTCCCTTTAAATGACCACATTTATTAATATGCACCCTGTTGAATGGATAATCAGCGAGACCAAGGTTTACTCTGACACTGATTGGTCCACACCATATTCTATCCTCAAATTGTGTTACACTCATCTCTAGGTATGCCTAAAACTATTACGGGTTTACCTTAGTCGAATAACGAGAACAAAACAATGAACCAGCGTCCAGGTAGGCTACTGTCCCGATTGTACCAGCAAGAAATCTGATATAGCGTAGAAAGTGTATTCTGCAAACACCCGGCCAGCACACAATGAATCCAAGGACACAAATTGCGTTTGTTTATACTCCATAGAGACGTCCTTGGGAGGGTCACAAAATAGCACACTAAAATGGCACAGTAACCAATCACAGCTGAGGATTTTCCTGGTGGGAAATGTGATCTCAAGATCAACTGATCGGCCCATGAAATCAATCCAAAATAAAGATATTTATCAAGCGAGTTCTGGGAATGTAACATCCACAACAAATTGTCAATCAGTATACGTGATGAAATAGCTGAGTGAAGAATGGTAAGGTTTATTGTAGAGTACCAAAACGATTTTATAGTTTTGAAAATGAATTCACTCGAACCATCTTACTTAGTTTTATCTCGATGTGTATAGTCCGTTTACTTAGTCCTTACGGAGTTTTTTCTAACTCTATTTATCTTTAAGTTTTTCTAACATGTTTCACTTTCTTTCGAAACGTACTTGAATTCTTCTGATTCAGGTTGAACTTATCCGTAGAGATTATTTTGCAAATAGAGGATGGGAAACATTTTTGGCCTATGAAGATCCGTATCAGGATATATTGATCGGCTTATTACGTTTAAGAAAATGTTCACTGCAAACATTTAGACCAGAACTAATCGCTACAACACATACTAATAATGATGTTCAAAGTAACAAAAATCCTCGTTGTTCTATTGTACGTGAATTACATGTATATGGTAGTGCTGTTCCAGTGGCTGCTAGAGATCCTACAAAATTTCAACATCAAGTAAGTTTCATTGTAATTTAAATGTATATCATAGAAGAAACGGTGTTCTGTGTAATAATTTAAAATTAAAGGTTTCTGTTGAAATTCACCGAAGTTCACCGAAGTAGAACATCTGGGATAAGTTAAAGTCATCAACTAGCATGTCTTCTCATATATGTGACTTTAGTTAACCTGGTTAAGCCTCACATTCTTGTTAAACTCAGAAAAATTTGTCGAATTTCAGTGTAGTCGCGCAGAAAACTGACCTATCAATATGTCCGGATGAGTAAGTAATGCATTGAACAGCGATTACCCGATTAGTTGACTACTGAACAGTGAAATACGCGAAGGGAATTGTGTAACGAACTTTTAGTTACTCATAAGTAATGTCATTGTCATCAACAAATCTTTCGACCCCAGTCTTTTTTCTGAATTTTCTAAATAATGCATACATTTTTAGATTCATCTTTCATTGTTTTGGCTAACTTACAGATATCGATTGAGGGAAAAACAGTTAGATTTCTCAGTTTTATTCAAATTGCTGTCAAATTTTATAACATTCAGCATTTAAGTTAGCTTGAAGATCCCACAGTTACCTTCAAGAGTTCGGATCATTTCGTGTTTATAGTAATGTAGTAGTTCGGAGTACAGACTTTACTTACCATGACATATAGACGGTATTTTTTCAAACGGCTTACAGTCTATAAGTCGATCAGCGCTAAGGACTAGCCAACCATAACATTGAGAACCACTAAGTAATCGATCAAGGACTCTGTCTGCTTTGGTTTTTAATGACATAGCTCACTTCTACCTCCATACACTAAATCTTAGTTGTTTGTCTCAATATGAATATATACATTATTCGCTTCTATCAGCTTTCTTATTCATCAGTCTTATTTATGGATAGTCAGTCTGATTAGTTTATAACGGTGTTCCATTTGCTGAGTAAAGGATTCGACATTAAGTTAACAGTTTAGATGTGTAGATCTCATCAACAGTAATTGAGTTAGTTGAAAGACGCCATTCCATTTCTTTTACGTTGGATATCCTTAACGTTACGAATCAGTCTGTTGCTCGTATGAGTCTCTTATAGGTCGTAGCATTTCCTTGACGATTGCTGTCACTGTGTTGTAGTACTGGCATTCTGGTTCAAAAATTGGGGCATTAGACTTCCAGTTACTGTGTTCCTCACCCTACCTACTTCAATTTATGCATCGGGATAAGCACCGTTAGTCATCACGCATAGAGTATGGCTTGAAAATAAGTCTACCAATCAATAGCTGAGGAATTACAAACAAAGTGTAACGAAACATGTTTCTCAAAGTTTAATTTGGATCACTTTAACTTCAGCCAAGATGATATATTACTGTAGACAGTTTAAACACACAGAATTTGATCTGCCTACCCCACGTGCGGTATAGGCCATCGCACAGAGATCTCCGTAGTGTGACCTATATACCTCCAGAATCTTTTTCTAATCTCAAATGGAAGTTGGTTTGTTCTCTGCTACAGTAGATTACTGCTGATGATGTCTCGCGAACAGATGTAGAATTCCTTGTGTAGATATCTGCTTTTAAATACCTGTATTTTTGATGATGGCTGTTGTAGTTCTCCAAGTTGTAGGTCCGCACAATAGAAATGTCTTGACGTTTGTATTGAAAGTCCTTTGTTGTTGGTGTCATTAAATTCACATTATAGCTCTTAGCCTAAGTTTCTTTATCGTATACCCGTAAACTTTTAACATTTGTCAATGGTTTCTTGACGCAAAATAAAGATTAATTAATTTCGCTGTATTTATGAATATAGAGTTACAAATTTGATTTCATGAATCGATCGAAGTTAGACCACCATTAGAAACCTGGAAGCATTGGACGGCCGTTCCTTCCTGGTATGCGACTCGTCAGCAGTGCGCATCCACGACTCCTGCACCTCGCAGGATCCGAACCCATGACCTTTGGCCTTGCGCGCGAACACCTAACCTCTGGACCACTGAGCCGGTGGTCTAACTTTGATCAATTGATGATTTCAAATGTGTAACTTGACAATCTTCACAAGCCCGTAATGTAATCTAGAGTTGTAGAGATTGTTGAATTTCATTAAAATCACAAATCGATCTTGAAAAACCTTTGTGATCCTGTTGATGCTAGATTGTTTCATCGAGTTTTCAGATGCTTGTCTACCCAAGATCAGTTTATGATTTCAGTCTAACAGTACACTCTTCATTATGATTTAAAACAATTTCAATCGGAGTCAAAAGAGCATTTAACTGGATCGACAATTATGCAACCCGGCCACTGCTGCTCTGCGATCACGCTCCCAGGTCTCGAAGACCAACGCTAATCTAACTTCCTTTTCAGGTCCCTCAAGAAACAACCTTCCACGGTGTGGGCACTCGGGAAGTGACATCCGCCCTCATACCCGTAACAACACACGAGACCAAACTGGTCTCAACCCAATCATTCCTTCACACCCTAACATCTCTATTATCTCCACGACTAACTCTTCTCACATTCCTTTATCACCCCGTACTTCTAATGAAAATGTGTGTGTGTTCCCGAAACGTTATTCTTGGTCTCGTGAAACTCCGTTCTAAGCTACATGTTGGAGCTTCCAATATCCGGACATTGTGTCGAATAGGGCAACAGGCTTCCTTAGCTAGGACTCTGGAATCCTGTGCCATAGATGTATGATGCGTCTCCGAAACGAACATACAGGATCCGAGTAGCGTCATTCACTTGACCTCACCATTTCAAGATAAAGAAGAAACTTGATTTACTCTTCGTGTATCCGCTAGCCCTGACGCTGCTTCCAGGTGTCTGACTGGCGTAGGTATAGCATTGAGTAGTAGGGCTGAACTGTCTCTCCTAGACTGGGTCCCAGTAGATAGTCGCTTGTGCGCTGTCCGACTAAACGGGGCAGTAAGGACTCGTAAAGATAGGGACACTCGTTGTTGCCTCTTCGTGATATCCGCCTACGCTCCCACTGACCGCAGTTCATACTAGGGGAAAGATGAGTTTTACTGGAAGCTTTCGTAACTCATCCAAAACGTGAGGTACTCTGATATAGTAATAATGTCTGGTGACTTCAATGCCCAAGTAAGTAGACTGAGTGTAAAGGAAAAACACCTTGGTGGATCTTGTGGTGTCGCGGCTCAAAGAAGAGAAAATGGTGACCGTCTGCTACAGGTATGCTGAGATAACGGCCTATATATAGCGAACTGTTATACTGCCGCTATGTAGCTATTCGAAATCCTACCGATTGACCAAATTCAGATATTCCAGTACGATCCCAAATCTCCAGTATATCAGAACACAACACCGTTAGATGAAGTTGTTTATGGGGCCGAGTACAGAAGTGACGAAGGAATAATAAGCTTTACAGATCGAATAGGAAACAACATTGAAGTACGTGACATTGACAGTTAGGACGACCATAATATCGACCAATAGAATTAGACTTTCGATTCAGATCATGCTCTAATGCGAGCGCGTATTTGTTTTCATCTGAGTGGGCGTAGGAAAAATATCACAAGGAAACCTCTTAGGGCTCTACTTAATGATAATAAAGATAAGAATACATCTCAGGAACAACTATGAAAACAGTTAAGCGGCCATGTAGTAAGTGATGCCCATCCTGAGGCAGCTTGGAATGATAATCAAAAAGCGGTGGAAACAGCAGTGTTATCTGCTAGCAAGGTAAACCATAAGGTTAGGGAGAAGCCGTGGATTTCAGTAGCATCTACCGAACTGATGGATGCTCGAAAACTCATCCCGCCTGGCTCTGAGTACGATGAGGAGCAGAGTAAGCTTAGGCGCAAACTGATAAAAAGCCTACGCAACGATCGAGAATAGTGGTGGGTAGAGAAAGCGAAACAGATGGAGACGGCACTGACGACAGGCAACAGTAGACAACTTTTCCGCCTTATAAAGGGAACTGGTATAAGAAATCCATCTGTTAGCGAAACTGTTTCAGAAAAGGATGGCTATATCACTCGTTCTCAATCCGGGAGATTGGATCGATGGGCAGAACGCTTCAGGGATCAGTTCAACTGGCCTTCAGCAACACTTCGGTTGTCCACGATCCCCAGTCATCCTGAATGGCAAGTCGACGTAAGTCCTTCGAGTCTTGATGAAGTTGCGAAAGCTATAGGAAGTCTGAAGCGAGGGCTAGCAGCGCGTCCTGATAGATTGACGCCTGAAATTTTTATGGATGGTGGTCCAGTTTTAGCAGTTAGATTGACCGAGATCTTAGGTAGAATCTGGGAACTGGACGTAATCCCATCCGAGTGGTGTCAATCACTGATTGTCTCAGTCTATGAGAAATGACAGAAGTCCTCTTGTGACGATCACAGAGGAATCGGTTCGACTAATATAGCATCGAAAATATCGGCCTCATTAATACTCGGACGCCTAACTAGAGCTGAAAATTCAGACGAGGATGAGGTTATATCTAGAAGCATGTCTATGACAAAGTTAAACTAGAATGGAGAGAGTGGGCAGCCCTGACGGACACCACTTGAAGTATAGAATTCCGATGACAGTTCGCCATAAACTCTGACCCCAACCAGTGGTGTTCGAGCAGAGAGCTTGTATAAGTTTAATGCACTTCTTTGGTAAACCTTTCAACGACAGACACTGCCACAGAACCTCACGATCCACAGAGTCAAATGGCTCCTTAAGGTCCAGGAAGACAACTATTGTCGGACGCCTGAACGAGTATCCATGTTCTAGGACATGGCTGTTGGGGATGTTAGATCCGCAGAACTCGCCTGATAAATGCCTTATTTCGGATTCAACCTTTGCGAGCATGAGCTGATCAGTCGACCTTGAGACCTAATTTCCTACCAGGAATCACAGAAGTCCTCTTGTGACGGCTACAGTGGAATCAGTTTCACTAATATAGCATCGAAAATATCGTTCACTTTAATACTCGGTTACCTAACTATAGCTCGTAAGGTGCAGAGTATAGAACACCAGGCTGGTTTTAGACCTAAACGTGACTCTGTAGACCAGATATTCACACCACGTCATTGTTATGTTTGTCAATAGGTACTCTTGAAGGTGTAACAGGTTCACCTTAGTCGATAAACGCGAACAAAATATTACCACCCTCTAGTTAGGCTACCTTGAATCCCAAGCTGTAAACAGAAGTCTAGATAAGCGGAGAAAGTATATTCTACAAACACCCAGCAATCACAATACCATCAAGCATACAACTCTCGTTTATTTATACATCATAGAAACGTCCTTGGGACAACTACGAAAACAGCACACTGAAATACACAGCAGCCAAGCGCAACCATGGATATTTTGTTTGTCCGAATCTATGCGAATGGACTAAAGTCTTCTTGTTACAATCACAGGGGAATCAGTCTAACTTATATAGTATCTAAAATATTAGCCTCAGTAATACTTCGACGCTAAACGAAAGCTCGTGAGGAGCGAACTCGAGAAAACCAAGCTGGTTTTCGACTTGGACGTGGTTGTATAGACCACATCTTCACACTACGATAGGTCCTGGAACGCAGACACACATTTAGGCGTCCGACAATAGCTGTCTTCCTGGACCTTAAGGAGGCATCCCACTCTGTCGACCGTGAGGATCTGTGGCACTGTCTGTCATTAGAAGGTGTACCAAAGAAGTACATTAACGTTATAGAGGCTCTGTAGTAAAGGACAAGGGTACTGTGCAGCAGTTCTTTCCGTCCCACTGTGCGGATGCGAGACTTGGCCGTTAAGAGTAGAGGACTTCCGTAAGTTACTAGTCTTCGATCATAGGTGTCTCCGAAGCATAGTTCGTGTATCATGGGACAACCGTATAAGCAATGCTGTCGTTAGGAAACGAGTTCTAGGTAAGGATGGCAAATCAATAGACGAAGTAATGAAACTTCATCAGTTGAGGTGGCTGAGAGATGTGTTGCGTATGCCTAACCACTGACTGCCTCGTCGAGCTATGTTTTGCGATGTAGGGATAGGTTGGAAGAATGCTAGGGTCGGCCAAACGAAAACATGGCAGAAATGCACGAAGTCACTGACAAGTGGACTGAGTCATGTTGGTAGATGTAGGCTACCTTGTTGTGGTCCGCGAGACGATAGTAATCCATGGTTAGATACCTTGGACGACATGGCTCAGAATCGTTTGCAATGGCAAAGGTGCATGTACTCCTTGTGTTCTATGAAATTCTAACGTTCTGAATTCTTCATCACCTCTATGTTTCTTTTTCTAAGTTTACCTCACTAAATTATACTTCTTGAATAATATTTTTGAATCCTAATCTCTTCGATTACCTCTATTACTATTACTAACTCTACTACTATGGGATTTGAATGGACAATTATATCTCTGTGCTAACGTGGTATGGCAACTTGAATGCTGTTACTGAGGTGCAAAGTTCTACGTTGCTGTAGATGATTACGTGCGATTCTCACTTTTCAAATGGCTGACTGACTGAGATTTTTGCAAAAGGACAGTGTTATTGATTGTTATATTGTAGTATACCGATATTTTAAGTCCAGGTAATTGTTTATTCGTCATGACATTTTACCGATTGAGTGTGTCTACCAAATGTTTTAGTTCAGTTCTATTGGTTAACTTTTGCTCATTCCTGTTGTATTTTCAACTATCTTATATATTAATCCTCCGAATTCACAATAGTTTGGCTGTCTTTCTGTCCTCTGATTATATTCTACTCTCGTATTGGTGTTTTATTCCTCGATATACGTTGACTAACTGATACTGAATAGTTCATTTTAATTTGCAGATTACACTAGTCCACTACAGTCACTACAATGCAATTGCTGAATACTCTTTTGTTAGTGTCTGTATAAATCCAATTCACTTACAAATAGATTGAACGCCGATTCCAATCTATTACCACTATTCATTTAGTCCACTTGTGTCCATTTTATCATACTTTAGTAACTGCTGTACATGCTAGTTAGTTCAGTTTATTAAATATACACTTAATAATATACCTATTTAAGTTCTTACGTAATTCATTAATCTTCGGTTATGGAGTTAAAGATTACGAATATAACATGCTTGTACTCTAATTGACTGGTTACATATCGTATTATCTAACTTGCAAAATTGTATAATCAGTTTTTCAATGTGGTCAGTTTAGTAAATTTTCTGTTGGAAATGAAATAAGTACCAACTGATTTGGCGTCAGGTACACATTTGTTCCACAGCATTACGTCTCAGGGGCTAGGTAACACAGTTTTCGTTGCGTCCTCTCAAACCGAATTAGGTAGAGTTTTAGGTAATTATGTGAGTAACTTGGTGTTAGATTGTATGTTGCAAACGACAATTATAGGATACGCATGTCATTTAGTGTTATTTGTAGTGGTGATTTTTGTTTTTGATCGTCACTAGCAAACAGAAATTCCCACCTGTTAACTTTTCGATTATGTTGATCGATGAGAATTTGTCTTGTGCATGCGTATTTGCTTATTTTCCTCTATAATTGATTCTGTTTTAGGGTTTTGGAACTTTACTAATGGAAGAAGCAGAACGTATAGCTAAATATGAACATGGTTCTTTGAAGATTGCTGTTATATCTGGTGTGGGAACTAGAAACTACTATCGAAAGTTGGGTTATGAATTGGAAGGTCCGTATATGACTAAGATTTTATAATTCTCAATCTAAAATAACGACATGCATTGACACAGTCTTCCCCTTTTGCTTTTATAAACACTTAATACTTTCTCAGTAATCACTTTCTAATCTCTTATTATAAATATACGCCTTCCCAATATAAGTCAACTTTACAAATCGCCAATAACGATGTACTTCGGTATTATGTTGAGATAAACAATTAGATGGTAAATTATCTGGAAGGCAATCATAGTAGAATTTCTACAGTTCACAGCATGTAAAACTATAATTACATTTATAACATCTAAGCTTGACATTATGTCCTGAAATATTTATGCGTCTGGAAAACCGTTTACTTCATATGATATACCATGTAGCTAATGTTGTTTAATATTGTTGTTGATTCAGACAACCTAAAGAAGTCATATGAACTGTAAATAATCCTTCCCGACCGTAGCTGCTACCTTGATATAGTGGTCGGGCTTGCCTATCGTCATGATCCAACCGACCTATATTGCTGTAGTATATGTTCCTGTAGGTCATACAATGCCAGGCAGGTCGATTGGTAAACGATGAGACTAAAAACACCTTCTCAAGGTCTGAGGCCGAAGTCGTACTGCTGACTGAAAAAAGGGATGACAGTGATAGGTTACCCTCGGATAACCAGACACTACAAAGATTCCGATTTCTCACAAAGAGATAAAAAAGATCGACACTGAAAATATCACACCCCACCTTACCTCACGGCTCTGTGGACCGTGAGGTTCTCTGGTAGTGTCTG